GTTTTATATTACTCTTCCCATCTGGTGCCTTCTTTAAAAAAAAAAGACAATATACTAGCTTACTGAAATGAGCTCTATCTATTGTCTTACAATTCATTAGCATTTAAAACCTCCAGCTGGACTCCTCAACACAATTCTGTTCCCACTCCAGAGTCAGCACCATTTTCTAAAGTATTAAAATGAAGATATTTCTGATTTGATAGCTATATTTTTTCAAATAGCTTTGGGAAGAATTGTATATGTGCATGTATGTGTGTGTGTGTGTGTGTGTGTGTGTGTGTGTGTGTATGTGTAGTTTTGTGTCCCTCAGAAGATTTGATCTCTTCTTTCTGCTTTCCTTTGAATTCCTTCTTTGTACAGAACTTGAGTCACAGTGACCCAAATCAATATGTGTGTGTGTGTGTATGTTTATGTGTGTGTAAAACATAGAATATATACCAATATATGTACAAATACATGTATATATACATATATGTATACACACATGTACTATACATATAGATGTATGTGTGTATATATCTGTATATGTGTGTGTGTGTATATATCTATATCTATATCTATATGTATATATATCTATATATCTATATATATGTATATATCTATATCTATATATATATATATGGAGAGAGAGAGAGACTCTCCTTAACTAACCATGGATCCTGAAAATAAAGACCTGCCATTCTCCATGGCTTCTTTTTTCCTCCCACACTTCCCAAAGAAGGAACATGTGATATAAACACATGGCAACTCTATTAGTCATGATTTCATGTACAGTCAAGAAAACATTCAATTGTTATCTCCCTAATAGCTAGTTTTTCTTAAATATTGTAATCTTCTAAGTCCCCAATAAATTATCAATAATTTTGTCCATTTTCCCCAGTTTGTGTTTACATTTGTAGCTGTTCATAGTTGTGGGTTATCAGGACAACAGGAGTTATGCACAACTATAGTCCATGGAATCCTAGCCTCCCATTTGAACCAGTCACCTGTAAGATGTCAATTGCATCTGGAGACTTTGTTTTCTAACATGCACATTTGTCCTAAATTTTGGGGCTTAACAGCCTGCCTCTAAAATCTCCAGTGAAATTCCTTTAAAAATAAATAACAGTATTGTATGCTCTCCAATTTGAATATTAAAAGAGGGCAAAGTAGAATTAATTTAGTTTGAAACATGGATATTACATTATGCTGGCACAGTGAGTCAACATAAAGGGAATGAACAGGTGGTAATACACCAATAAAAACACTTATGGATATTTTGCTGAAATTCTCATGATGCTGAAATGTAAAAACTAGGCAAATACCTTGACTCTGTTGGGAGTTCTTTCAAGCTCCAGGAGGGCTATCTCCTGTGAAGAGAGCCCTGGTCTTCCACATGCAGGATACTGCTTCTAGGAATTACGAGCTGGTTTCATCTCCCTGGCCTCATTCTGTTCCCCAAGATGGGCTGGGCCTATTTGTAGTGTTTTCTATAGTTGTAGAAAAGAGAGTCATTGTTCCTTTTAATTTCTCCTCAGGCAAATCTCACCATCCCTGCTTAAGCAAGTCCCTTTGCCAGGTGGAAAAGGGAGCACTGGACCATTTTAATGGAGATAAATAAATAAAAACAATGCCAAGGTGCCTGTTGTAAGACTTCTCACTTCCCTGGTCCTTTAAAGTTTAACAAGCACTTTCCTCCCCTAACAGTGTTGGGAAGTAGGCAGTAACATAAAAACAGCTTCCTATTTGTGAAGAGGTGGGGGGTTTTAGGGTGCTCCTAGATGCACAGAGGCACCCCAAGATCACGGGAGGTTTTGGGGTGCTGGGAAAAAGCCCCAGATCGCAGCGCAGATCTGCCTGAAAGAATTCAACCCAGATCTTCTTTTAGCCAGACAAAAAGTTTATTAAAGATAAATCACATATAGGCCAGGTCATGCCTGTGAGGATGAGTGGGCTTGAGAGTCTCAGCCTCTAGGTGTGAGAGGTTCTCAGCCCAGAATGGGGGCAAAGGTGAATCTTAAGTACAGAAAGACTGTGGGAGGGATCTAGGAGTGGCCAAGTACTTTGGGGTGAGGGGAGGCAGGGCCTAGGGAGATCTGGATGGGAGTGGCCAGCAAGCTGGGGTGAACAGAATTCCTGGGTCCTGGACCTCATGGCACCTACCTAGGATTAAGGGTGAGAAATGGCCAGAAAGGCAAAACAATGGAATGAGAGGCCAGTTAAAGGGGGAGGTGTTAAAGATAATAAGGGTCCAGGTGGGAATTTCCATTTGGAATGTCTGAGAGATTTGAACAGACAATGAGAACAGATAATGAAGGGAACTGCAAGAGGGGGGGAAGTTTGCTTTCAAAGGGTGATAAAGAGAGCTTTCAAAGGGAAATAAGGCAGTTTCTAAAACTTTAAGGTTTTCCTGGGACCGGCTGACAAACTGAAGCCAGGTTCTTTTTGGGGCCAGGAAGGAAAGTGCATTTGAATAAGATTAAAAGGTGAGGCTGAGGCTTTGGAAAAGGGCTTAACAATAAAACTATTACTGGCAAAGATCTCGGCTTCTGAAACTGAATGAAACCCTCTTCATTTGGAGGTAGGCTTTAGAGTTTCTGCTAATCCCTTGTCTCCGTATTCATGTCTTAGGATGCTTTTCTAAAATAGAATAATAAGCATAAGAAATCCCATTTCTCCTATCTGTTTCCTTCCCCCATGCAGCACTCCAACTGGACTCTGAAAGGCTTTTGCTTCACAATACCTAATGTGTTGTGCCATCTAAGTAACACAAGGGTTCAATTATGATTCATAAGCTGGATGCTCCAAAGCAAGCTCTAGTAAGATACAGACAAAAGGCAGTCTAATTATATGTAACTTATAAATGAATCAGAAAGTAAATGCAAGAAACAATGTGGAGCAAGCCATGTAATCATACATGTATGAAAACCATGCAGAGCCTTTCTAGCTCTCTATCTAGGACTCTGTGATGGGTTTATGAAGAGGCCTCTAACACTGCTTCTGTGTCTTTATTGTTTAATGAATGTCTACATTGGGAAGGCTTACCTTCCTTCTTAAAGGCAGTGTTGCTATGGTTTATTTCAAATATAAAAGTAGAATTAGAACATGATAATTGAAAGTCTTTTTGTTTATGAACGTCTTAGGGAAAAATGACCTCCTGTAGGCCACCTGGCATCCCTTTTCCTCCTCTTCCCACTCCAAAAATAGAAAAGAAAAAAAAAGCCCTGCCAAAATTGAAAATGATGCTGCTATTAGAAAGAGGAAAATTAGCTAAAGTTCAAGTTTTTTCAGTTTGTGTTTTAAATTGCAAAGTGACTAGTTCCTGACAGAAACATAAGATCACACATTTACAGTTGGAAGAAACCTTAGAGGCCATCTCAAGTCCAACTTCTTAATTTTACAGCTGAGGAAACTGAGGCTTAGAGAGGCTAAGTATCTCGCCCATGGCGAAGTGTCAGATGGGATTTGAACTGAAGACTCCCTGTCTCAAAGTGCAGCATTCTATTTACTGCACCATTATTTTATTATATACATCAATACCACAGAAGAATATCCTAAGGAAGCGATGTGAGGACACTCTGTACATTATTGGTCTATAACAATCCTGATTTTTGAATACTGCCCAGGAAGATAGAAATTTAGTCAGAAATCAGAGCAATATTTTGGAGAATGTAGGGACACACATGTATTTAACTTATTCAATTATTTCTTCTTTAAGCAATGTCTGCATTGCCTCTGAACTTGGCTTAAGTAACATGCTTGGAAAGTTTGTCTTACAGGGTATTTTCCTCTCCTTTAATAGAACTCTATGGCAGCTTATGACTTAGAGACACAATTCTCTATTTTTCCATCAAAGGGACCCCTTTGGACTGGATATCTCTCAGGGTGGCTATATCAACATTTGCAGCCCCTATTTCTCTAAAACACAAAAGAGGGCAGGTAGGGGAGGTTCTCTGGGTGACCTCAGCAGCAGTTTCCACAAATGAGTTAATTTTCACAATACATGGGCATTTCGAGACTCTAAGGGAGGCAGCAGGCACAAATTCTCTGTTTCTTCTGACATGATTTCAGGAACCTGATGAAAAAAATGTGGTGGTCTATAAGTCAACTAAGAGGAAAGGCACCAAATGTAAGAGTAACTCATCATTAAGGGGATGTTCATATTCCCCAAATCATGAAGGTGCAGATTTTTAAGCATTTCAATGGCCAGTGTATTCCCCCTTCATTGTAAATAAATCTCTTGTTAGCTGCTGTATTGTTTAAATAAGAATGCCAATTTGTCTGGTCGTTGAAGGACCATGGTAAACGTGTTCAAGGTTTAGAAAAAGGGGCAAAACTGGGTCACAGTCAAGGGATGGGAGTAACTCCAAGGACCACCTCACTAATTAATTCCCTACTATTCCCTAAGGACTCCTGAAACACCTCAGGACATGACTGAGAAGCAGTTTCCCATTTGGTCTTCCCCTCTAGTATTCAGTGATACCAGGGGATGCATTAAATGATGAAACAAACTGCACACTTAACCCAATGTGGACTACGTTCTAGAAGGGTTTGGGTAACATACCTGAGTGGTCTTTAGAGAGCGGGTGATAGTAGAAGAGCTTAAGCTTGAGGTTAATTCAGCAAATAGCAAAGCTGGGTTTTGATGACAAATAAGCAAACAGTAAGTGCTAAAGAGAGGTAAGGACAGTTTTCAAAACACCCTGAGGATTTTTTAGTCTTTATGATCACACCAGCAACTCTAAGGAGTGATATAATTCTGGCTAAGGCATATAAAGTCCCTTTCAAAAGTAATTGTACTATGTATACCTTGAAACAAAGAAAGTAACATATAGTAGTGCAATAAAATGGTATAAAATTATATGAACGTCTCCTAACATGTGATTCTGATGTAGCCCATTTTCTCTCATTCATTCCAGCCAATGAAAAAGCCATTCAAAGCACTTAGAAGCAATTTCTTTGCAGCTTACCCAATTTCTACAATCAAATTAATGCCCACTTCCTTTTGTAACACTTCTTACCTGTTTTTGCTCCTCTCCTAAACCTTCCCACACTGAGGCTACAATTTTAGAGACCTCACCAAAAGTAGCATTTGGATTTTGGCCTTTGATGACTGCCTGGGTATCTCGGGAGAATAATGCATAGGATGATACAGGCTTCTCAGGCTCGTTAGGGTCCTTCTTTTTCTTTTTATGACTTTTTGGTTTGTTTCCTGTATCAGAAGCAGGCCATTTCTCTTCACCTGTTATCTGGAAGAGGATCATGGGATGATTACAGACGGGACCACTAAAGCATGGGCCAAACCAAATTGCTGCTTCTCATTAAGACTAACAGACACACACACACCATCCTAAGTAGCATTTTTATTTGTAGCTCTGGGCTCATAAAATCTTTATATCTCATGTAAATTATAACTGTGTCCCTCACAACTTAGATAACAAGTCTTTAAAATAATTTTTGATTATCTTTATAGAATTATTACCCTAGTATATTAACTCCACTATCCTTTTTTTAAAAAATGATTTTTATAACCATAGTGAAAGTTGCTTGGGGATTGAGTCAAACACATTTTAATTACACTGATATATACAGACTCTCACACATACTATTTCTATTAAATGAAGTTACCTTCTTCTTTAGTCAAAAATCTTATCCTACCTTTTCTTTAACATGGATACTCTCTCAGATCCCTGGAATCTCTAACATTCTAGGGGAAAAATACATGGGAACCAATAATAGGGTCATCATAATAACAAAGTCATCTAAAAATAAAAAGTTGAATGGATATTTGACTTGTAACTTTGTAGTACAGATAAAGCAAGCAAAAAAATCAATAAATTTATCTACATATCCTAAACTAGAGGCTTTCTAAACAGTTTTTAATAGTTTCTGAATCTTCAGAAAGAATCCTCATGTATTAAAGGTTTGTCCTTCCATTCTCGTGCCTTCTAATTCTTCATCAGGACGTAAAAAGAATTACATTTTTGAAGGCTATGCTAAGAGTGAGAATTCTGTCAATTTCTATGAGGCTAGAAAGTATAAGTACTAGAAATGAACTACAGGTTTGTTCTCTTTGCATCAGCCTAATGTTCAATGCTCAGACACTGGCCACCATGAGATGAATTTTTGGGTTTGGGGGAAGGATGGCAAAGCAGCTAATGAAGCTGTCTACTAAGATATGGAGAGAACTCTCACATCATTGCAATCATATATCCTTAAAGCACTGGAACTTTACATTTGTAACTACTGAAACATATAAACAATGAACACCTCACTTGTTGAGACTAACTGGTGGCATGATTTGACTGAAATAACGAAAAGCCAATAATAAGAGTTTCTTTAAATATACGAAATGGAAGAACTCAAGTAGAGAAACAATGGAAACAAACATTCCATGATGACAGTGAAAAAAATTTCCTCAATAATAAAAAGTCTATAGCAAAAAGGTTTTAATGAATCATCTGGCTTGGGCTTGCTGAGGCCACTAGGATAGATTAAAAGATCATCGCTATAGAACTGACAGAGACAACAGAGGTTATACAATCCAATTGCCAATTTTATAGATGAGGAAACTGACACTTGGTAATATTAAGTAACTTGCCAGATTTTACAAGGTACACCCAGCAATAGAGTCAGGATTCAAACCTCAGGCTTTTCATTTGATGCTTTTTTGAGATGTGACCTGAGCCTCTGCTTAGCACTTAAGAATTTTCAATTAGGAACTATATCAAAGGTAAGACATAAATAGTAGCCACCAACCAGATGAGAACTATACATTTTAGGGGAAGTTTAATTTGAATTGTACTTATGGGGACTAGAATTATGTAGATAAGCAGAGTTTACTAATTGACTGAAAATTACATTTTGGCAAAGGAATTTGATTTTTAAAAATTTTTTTTTTATTTTTAACATGTGTTTTTAAAACTTTGGGTTACAAATTTTCTCCCTTCCTCCCTCCCCACCCACCCTCATTGAAAAGGCAAGCATCTCAATACAGGTTATAGATGTGCAGTCATGCAAAACACTTTCATAGTAGTCCTGTTATGAAAAAGTAAGTATTTTTCCCTTCATCCTATCTTACCCTCCATTTATTCTATTCTCTCTTTTGACCCTGTCCCTCCTCAGAAGTGTTTGCTTTTGATTATCCCCTCCCCCAATCTGCCCTCCCCTCTATCAACTCCCTGCTCTCTTATCCCCTTCCCCCCTTATTTTCCTGTAGGGTAAAATAGATTTCCATAACCCATTGTGTATGTTATTCCATCCTTAAGCCAAATCCTATGAGAATAAGATTCACTCATTCCCTCTCACCTTCCCCCATTTCCCCTTCACTGTAAAAGCCTTTTCTTGTCTGTTTCATGTGAGATATTTTACCCCATTCTATATCTCCCTTTCTCCTTCTCCCAGTATAATCCTCTCTCATCTCTTAATTTTATTTTCCAGATATCACCCCTTCATCTTCAACTCATCCTGTGCCCTCTATCTCTCTATCTATACATACATATAATTTTTTCCCTCCCACTACCCTAATACTGACAAAGGACTCATGAGTTACAAATATCATCTTTCCCTGCAAGAATGTAAACAGTTCAACCTTAATAAGTCTCCTATGATTTCTCTTTCCTGTTTACCTCTTCCATGTTTCACTTGAGTCTTGTATTTGAAGGTCAAATTTTCTATTTAGCTCTGGTCTTTTCCACAGGAATGCTTGAAAGTCCCTTATTTCATTGAATGACCATTTTTTACCCTGAAGGATTATACTCAGTTTTGCTGGGTAGGTGATTCTAGGTTGTAGTCCTATCTTCTTTGCCCTCCAGAATATTATACTCCATGCCCTCCAGACCCTTAATGTAGAAGCTGCTAAATCTTGTGTTATCCTGATTGTGTTACCACAATACTTGAATTGTTTCCTTCTGGCTGCTTCTCCTTGACCTGGGAACTCTGGAATCTGGCTACAACATTCCTAGGAGTTTTCCTTTGGGGATCTCTTTCAGGGGGTGATTGGTGGATTCTTTCCATTTCTATTGTGCCCTCTGATTCTAAAATATCAGGACAATTTTCCTTGATAATTTCTTGAAAGATGATGTCTAGGCTCTTTTTTTGATCATGGCTTTCAGACAGTCCAATAATTTTTAAGTTTTCTCTCCTGAATCTATTTTCTAGGTCAGTTGTTTTAACAATGAGATATTTCACATTCTCTTCTATTTTTTCATTCCTTTGGATTAGTGTTACAGTGCCTTGATTTCTCAAATTGTCACTAGCTTCCAATTCCTCCATTCTAATTTTTAAGGAAGTATTTTCTTCAGTAAGTTTTTGGACTTCCTTTTACATTATGCCAATTTTGCTTTTTAGGGCATTCTTTTCCTCATTGGCTTTTTGGACCTCTTTTGCCATTTGGGTTAGGCTATTTTTTAAGGTGTTATTTTCTTCAGTATTTTTTTAGGTCCCCTTTATCATCACTCTCAGTTTTTCCTCTACTTCTCTTACTTGCTTCTCAAAATTCTTTTTGAGCTCTTCCATGACCTGGTACCAATTCATATTTTTCTTGGAGGCTTTGGATGTAAGAGCTTTGACTTCATTGTCTTCTTCTGGTTGTATGTTTTGATCTTCTTCGTCACCAAAGTAAAATAATATAGTCTAACTCTTTCTGTGCTGCTTGGTCATGATCTTAGCCAATTACTTGAGTTATAAACTCTTTGTTAAGGTAGGGGTCTGCTTCCAGTGTGGAGAATGTACTGTCCCATGCTTCAGGAGTTTTGTGCAGCTGTTTTCAGAGACACTTCTAGGGACCTGTAAATTTTCAGTTCTTCCAAGGTGCTATGATCAAGGGTGAGGTGTTTACTCCTTTCCTGGCCTGTGCTCTGGTCTATGAGCACTCTTTTCTGTCTTGGAACTGTAAGGCAAAGAAATTTGATCTTAAAGAGATATGGCTGGGACTAATGGGACAAATGGTATAGGTAGAGAGGAAGGTGAGCAGGCACAGGTATATAAAATGGCAGAGGGTGTACAAATCCTTCTAAGCATCAACAAAACTGAGTTGTGATCTAAGCGCATAGTAGGCTGCTCCCTCTTGTAAGCCATATATGGAGTGGTAAAAGTAGCTGTAGCAAATGCTTACATCATAAGCATTCAAGTAACCCAGAGTTACACTAACAGGAGAAAAAGAGAGCTAACAAAGAAAAGAATTTCAACTCCCAAGTTACCTTTTGGTACTGAGGTTGAATGTGCTAGATCCAAGAGTGCTAAATATAAAGGATCTACTTAATTGATGAAAGAGATGTAGATAACATACCAAAACCCAATGACATTCACTGGATAGAACTTGAATGAAAACATGTAGAACTGCTACCTTAAACAAATGCCTATCATTTAATACAGAGGTTCTCAAACTTATTTGGCCTACTTCCCCCTTTTCAAAAAAAAAATTACCCAGCGCCCCCCTGAAAATCTACTTTCTTTAACACTTTAACTTTTTTTTTTTGAAATTTGCATCATTTCAAAAAAATATCAATATTTGTTTTAAAAAACTATGCATCTTAAATTAAATAACATTGTAAATTTGTGGGTATTTTCCTGCACTGAAATTTTGATGACCCAATATTGCATCATGTAACCATGTAGTATCATGCTATAATGAAATTATTACATGCACATATTCCTGCTGATGCATGCTGGACTTCCCGACAATGCATGACAGGCTTGCCTGCCAACACTTTCTTGTTAAGACCTATCAGCAGACTTGACCATTGATTGGTTATAACTTGTATTTTGTATGTTTATTTGGAAAATAATGTAATCACTATGACTTTAAGTCTGTTACATAACAGATGTAACATGTACGAACAGTTTTTCAAAATTTTCTTCTCTTCTCTTCTTTCCTTCTACCAACCCCTTATTTTTATTCAATGCCCCTCAATTACACTTGAGCTACTACTGCCCCTCCGGATCCTTCCAACACCTCCAGAGGGTGGTATCACCCATTTTGGGAACCTGTGATTTAACAGCTACTGGGTCACAGTACTGGCAGGGTTTCTTTGCTACTCTTATTTGTACAAAGAGGTTTAAGAGGAAACCTGGAAACTACAGACTATTGAGTTCATACTGAACAGGTGAGTGGAATTTATCATATGGGCAAGAATTTCTGAATACTTAGGCAAATATGACCTGAATTCTGTAAAGTAAAATTAAACCTAATTTATTGTACTTCTCTGAGGAATCATCAAAGCAGTAAATAAAGAGGAAAACAGAGGAT